CCACGTAGCCCAGCACCAGCGTCACCAGCACCAGGGGCAGCAGGTCTGGGACAGCCAGTCAAGGACACAGCAGAGGGAGGGATTTGGGGTCACCCCCACCCGTCCCCTGCAGCTCCCGGAAGGATACTGACGGCAAAGACGTTGATGCCGTCCACGGCGTATTTGTAGTAGTAGGGGTTGGCAGCACGGTAGCAGCAGAGAATCACCTCTCCCTCCAGAGGCACCTCCGTCTGCAGGGGGACAGGAGGGTCACCCAAAATCCCCCCAGAGCGGGGTGTGGGACCCCGGCCCTGCCCAGAGCCACTCACCATCCTCAGGCCCCGGATGAGCACGCGCCCCGGGGGCAGCAGCAGCACGCGGGAGGCGGCGCGGGCGCTCAGCTTGGCCACGGGGATGAGGACGATGAGGAGCCAGGCGGTGACACACACGAGCCCGTGGGCCAGGGCCAGCACCGGGTACCCCAGGCACAGCCACACGGCAGCGCTGGCATGGTGCTGCGAACAGGAGGGCACCTTCAGGGCCTGACCCCCAAACCATTGCCCAGGGAGGGAAGGGCCCGTGGGCACCTTGCCCACCACGCTGGGGGCTGCAGGGGGATGGCACTGGGGCAGCACGGGGCTCACCCAGGATCCGGTGCCCAGCCAGCACCGTGGGCGCCAGCGCAGCACCGTGGGACCCCCGAGCAGGGCTGAGCTCTCCCCCACGCCGGCCTCGCACGCCTGCTGGGATTTGGGCACCTGGGGAGAGGGGGACGTCAGGGTGTGCGCAGGGCACCCCAGCACCCCCCGGGGGTTCCAAGGCACCCTCACCTCCACTTTCTGGATCACTTTGCCAAAGGGCCAGAGGAAGTACCCGGCCAGGTGCCAGCAGAGCCTCCCTGTGGGGACACAACCGTCAGTGTCCCTTCCACCTACAGGGACGTTCTGTGGAGAAGGGACCCGGGAGACCCCACCACCCATCTGTGCAGTTCTGAGCTCATCCAGCCCTCACGTGGGGGTCCCAAATTTGGAACTCACCATAAGGAGCCCCCATGACGGTGATGAACATCACGGCAGCCACGAGGACGTAGAGGAGCGAGAGCCACCAGCCAAAGAGCAGCAGGTAAAGGACATTCCCACACGTCAGCGTGGACCCTGCGAGAGGGAAGGCACCAGGTGGGACCATTGTCACCGGCAGCTGCCCAAACCCACACTGGGTTGTCCCCAGGGCCACCCACCCGCAGAGCCTCGGACGATGTTGAGGTCAGAGTAGAGCTCCTTGACAATCTCTGACCGGTCCTCCCAGGGCCGCGCCGTCACGTGGCTCTTCCATTTCTTGAAGCCAAACTGCAGAGAGAGGTTGTTTTATTTTGGGGATGAGTGAAGAGGAAGAAAACTAAACCCCATCACTGCCCTCCGGGAGCACCCATGGGTGCCCCCACCCACCTTGTAGTTGTTGGAGAGCTTGTTGGCCTCCACGGCGTTCTCAGCCGTCAGGGTGGTTTTCACCAGGCAGCTCTCGCACACCTCCTCCGAGTGCTGCTGGCAGCAGGACGGGGTGGACGTGGCTGTGGGTGACACACGGGGTGTCACAGCGGCTGTGGGACCCCAGGGCCCCACCCCAGCCCTTCCCAGCCCAGCCTACCTGGGGGGACGCGGGGCCGGTGCAGGTGGCAGCCCAGCTCCCCCAGGTCGCCGTGCGCGTTGTTGATGGCAGCGCAGTGCCGCTCGCACAGGGAGCCCCGGCGGGGACCGTCGCTGTCGCCGCGGCAATCCGGGACCTTGGGAGCATCTGCGGGAGCTGCCGGAGTCACCCTGGGCCGCATCCCCGCCCCGTGCCCGCGCTCAGCACGGCGGGACAGCCGAGAGCCGCTGGCCCGGGTGTCACCTTGGTCCCCAACCCCGCCGGGGGACACAGAGCGGTACCCAGGGATGCGCGGGAGGGGGGACCCCACCAGTGCCCGGTACAGGGCGGGGAATCCCGCTCGGTGCCCGGTGTGCGGGTCGGGAGGGGCGGGACCCGGTGAGGACCAGGGAAGGGTGGTGCCCCGGTGGTGCCCGGGGCTGGGGGTGCCCGGGGATGGGGGAGCCCCGGTGGTGCCCGGGGATGGGGGTGCCCGGGGCTGGGGGTGCCCGGGGATGGGGGAGCCCCGGTGGTGCCCGGGGATGGGGGTGCCCGGGGATGGGGGTGCCCGGGGATAGGGACCCCCCCTGCGGTGCCCGCCCCGCTCAGCTCAGCTCACCGGGCGTGTCCTGCGCGCAGCAGCGGCGGTGGCGGCGGCCGGGCTCGCTGTCGGTGGCCATGGCGGGAGCAGCAGGTGCAGCGCGGGCGGTCCCAGCCCGGCCCGCCGGAATTTAACGGGCGGGGCCGGACATGCGCGCCCCCGGGAGCCGCCCCCGCTGCGGGGGACGCGCCGGGAACGGGGCGGGAATGGGGGAACGCGGGGAGCGGGGTGGGCGGGGGATTTGGGGCGCGCAGGGATCGAGATGCGCGGGGACCGCGGTGCGGGGAATAACGGGGGGCAGAGAGAGCGGGGTGCGCGGAGTTTTGGGGTGCAGAGAGAGCTGGGTCTGTGGAATAACGGGGTGCAGAGAGAGCGGGGTGTGCCGTGTGACGGGGTGCAGAGAGTGCGGGGTGCACGGTGTAACGGGGTGCAGAGAGAGAGGGGTGCGCGGTGTTTTGGGGTGCAGAGAGAACGAGGTGCGTGGAATAACGGGGTGCAGAGAGAGCGGGTGCGCCGTATTTTGGGGTGCAGAGAGTGCGGGGTGCACGGTGTAACGGGGTGCAGAAAGAGCGGGGTGTGCAGTGCTTTGGGGTGCAGGGAGAGCGGGGTGCGCGGTATATGGGGATACACAGGTGAGAGGACACAGATATTGGGGTGCAGGGAAACCAGGGGGCACAGGGATATGGGGTGCGTGGTATATCGGGGTGCCCGGGAATTGGGGTGCACAGTGTGTGGGGCGTGCCCAGGGATCAGAATGAACAAGATCTGGGGTGTGCCGTGTATTGGGGTGCACGGGGATGTGGGGTGCAGAGTCCGGGCCTGCAGGAACAGGGGGCTGTGATGTATTGGGGTGCACGGAGAGCAGGGGGTGCGCGGTCTTGGGGTGCACAGGGAAGGGGTACATGGGGAGCAGGGGCTGTGCAGTGTTGGGGTGCACAAGGAGGGGGTACATGGGGAGCAGGGGCTGTGCAGTGTTGGGGTACAGGAGGAGCAGGGGCTGTGCAGTGTTGGGGTACACAATGAGGGAGTGCACAGGGAGCAGGGGCTGTGGTGCAGAACATGAGCAGGAATGGGGTGAACAATGAATTTGGGGTGCACAGGGTGTCAGGGGCACCAGGACTGGGGTACACAGGAGTCTGGGGTCTGTACTGGGGGTGCAGAGTGCTTTGGGGTGTGTGATGTACTGGGGTGCACAGGGAGCAGGGTGGATGAGAATGGGGGGCACAGGGCCTGACTGGGGTGTGGGATATATTGGGGTGCACAGAGTGGGGTTTGTGATGTATTGGGGTGTACAGGGAGCAGAGTGTGCCAGGGATTGGGTGCACAAAGACTGGGATGTGTGATCTATTGGGGTGCACAGTGTATTGGGGTGCACAGGGACTGAGGGGTGTGATGTATTGGGGTGCACAGTGTATTGGGGTACAGAAAGACTGAGCAGTGTCATGTATTGTGGTGTGTGATGTATTGGGGTGCACAGGGGCTGAGGGGTGTGAAGCAGAGTATTGGGGTACAGAGGGACTGGGCTGTGTGATCCTTTGGGGTGCAGAGGGATTGGGGTCTGTGATCCTTTGGGGTGCAGAGGGATGGGCTCTGATCCTTTGGGGTACAGAGGGATTGGGCTCTGTGATCCTTTGGGGTACAGAGGGATGGGCTCTGATCCTTTGGGGTGCAGAGGGATGGGCTCTGTGATCCTTTGGCGTGCAGAGGGACTGGGCTGTGTGATCCTTTGGGGTACAGAGGGATGGGCTCTGTGATCCTTTGGGGTGCAGAGGGATGGGCTGTGTGATCCTTTGGGGTGCAGAGGGATGGGCTGTGTGATCCTTTGGCGTGCAGAGGGATGGGCTCTGTGATCCTTTGGGGTGCAGAGGGATGGGCTCTGTGATCCTTTGGGGTGCAAAAGGATCCATGTGGGGGCTGTGTGGGAAGAGGCTGTGCAGGATCCTGGGAGCACAGAGGGATGTGGGGTTCTGGGCACCCCAAAACCGTGCAGGGTCCTGGGGCTGCAGAGCCCAGGGCACCCAAGGGTGCCCTATGGGATGGATCCCCACTTTTTGGTGAAAGAAGGAATTTCTGCACTTCAAGTTTTTAGAATGTGGGACTAATGGACCTCATGGGGCTCTGCTGCCCTTGAGGAGGGGAATTTTGGGGTGAAACCTAGCTAAATCTGGTTCTTGAGCATTCCTCTGTGGTACACGGATGGATGTGGTCATGCTGAACACAAGAAAAACCCCAAAAAGTGTTGGATAAAACAAACTCATTTAATACAAGAACCAAATGAGCCATTTTGTTACCAGTTCTTGGAAAAACCCAGGTCCCTCAGGGAGGAGAGACAGAGTCCCCAAAACCACTCAGTTCCCACCAAAAACAGCAAAGTTCCAAAAACTCCTCCTTCCCTCCCCTCAGTAAAAAATACAGTACAATGATTCCATGTGTTCATGGTCCTATATACACCTCTAAAATACTGATTGACCAGAATTTACAACAATTCCTCCTCCTGCCCCTTGGAGACATTTGACAAATATTGATTGATCCTTTCTTTGAAACAAATCCAGGTGTTTTTACCAAAAAAGGGACATTCCCAAAAACCTGTGGGTGTGTAGGGCCTGGTGTCCCACCTAGGTGCATAAAGCTCCCAAATTCGGTGGTGATCAGTGAAAAAAGCTGAAGGAAAATGAAATGCAAAAGCAAAGCTGGGTGAGAGTTGGTGGCAGTGAAGGCACCTGGGGAGCTCAGAGCTCTCAAGGCCCCTGAAGAGGGGAGGCCACGCTGGTTTTGTACAAAACAATGAAAACAAAAATTAAAAATAGAAATAAAATTCTTATTTGCTGAACTCAGCAAGACAAACATGGCTTTGTCTTTCCTCTTCAGCTGCAGGAACATCTTGAGGGGTCAGAAATCACAATTCCACCAATAATCAGGGATAAAATGAATTGGTTTTTATCATGCAGAATAAAATGAAGCAAAACTGAGTCTGAGCTTCCAGACTGGGAATTTCTTGGATGCTGAAGTTGTCCAAGTTGTTGAATCCCTCCAAGTGCTCAGAGCTGAGCACAGCCTTGGGGGGCTGTTCCAGCTGCACCTTCAAAGGTTTGGTTTGGTTTGGTTTAGTCTGAGACCAGCAAAGCTCAGTTTAAGCAGGACTGGTTGGGGTGAGGAGCAGGAAGGAGAACTCCTGCCCAGTGAAATTCTCTTTGTAATGCCCTGACAAAATCCACAGGGAATCACAGGCACTTCCTCCCTGCCCACAGAGCTTTAATTGTCCTGGTTTGCAGCAAATCCACGATTCAGTCCCAGCCGATCCCTCCAGGGCTGGCTCCCACTACTCCCCAAAGATCCACAGCACATTGACTCCTGACAATCCCAGATTGACACGCCTGCAAGCCAAAGGGATCACAATTAGTCGTTTCTAATTAAAAGCTGCTGTTAATTCGATTTTAGCACCATTAATTATCACCCATCTTGTTCCATGGGATACCTACCCCAGCATCCCAGATTCCTTTGTCTTTATGATGTACAGGAACATCAGCAAGGTGTGGAACATGTTGTTCCTGCCCTGGAGCCACAGACAGAGACACAAGGATTTAGAAATCAAAACAATTCAAAATCTCAGAGTTTTCCTAGGCTGGAACTTCCCCTTGGAATTTGCATTGGCCTCAAGGGGTGACATCAGTGACACCAGGGATTGTGATTTGGGGCTTTACAATAAACTGGCAGAGAATTCATAAGAGGAAGATCCTGTCTCCTAAACAGCACAGGCAGAATTCAGCAGCAGAGGAACCACCAGCAGTGCCCACCAGTGCCAATGGCCTGGGTTGGCTGTATGATGCTATGAAGACCAAATTCTTTTAGGTCCTAATTTAACAAAACTTTAAAAGGTATGTTTAAATTCTACCAAGACAATTTATCATTGAGTAAGATGTTAACATTTACTTGACTTCTCATTGCTTTTTACTTTCCCTGCTGAATTCGGAAACAGGACCTGCAGTACAGGGAAGTACAGGGAAACCACCAAGCTGGAGCAGTCCCTGTGTCAGGGGACAGAAATGTGTCCAGGATTTAAAAAGGGCCCAAATCAGCCCTGGGAGTGATCCCTGGGAGCAGCAGGAGCAGCAGGCCCTGTACCTTGGGCAGGCTGTAGACGTGGCACTCGTAGATCAGCTCGTAGTGGGGAGGGTTGATGCTGCTCTGGTAGATGCAGAACACGTTTTCGTTTGAAGTGTCTGAATTCAAAATTAATTAAAAAAACAAAAAACTGATTTAGAGGTGCTGCTGTGAGCCCAGAGGAACAGAGCAGCTGCAGGGCAGCCCATACCTGGCTTGTCTGGAGTCTGGATGAAGTGCTGGGAAGTGAAGGTTTTGCCATCGGGATACTTGGGGTGAGGGGGGAGCCTGGAGTCCAGGTAGGTGCAGAACACGTGCATCAGGATCTGGGCAAACACAGCAAACCTCAGTGCCAGGGCCCCAAAACCCAGCAGAGCGTCCTCCCCGTGGCCCCAGGGGTTAATCCCAGTCTTTGCTAATCCAGGGTTACAATGCTGGCCTAGCCCCAGGCTCGGGAGCAGCTTCATGCCTGAATCACCAATTTCAGATTGAGAGAACAGCAGAGGAGCTCTAAAGCAGCTCTGCCCTCCCCAAACCCAGCAAGGAACCTCCCCCTTTCCCTCATGGAAATCACTGCAAACTCTGGGCTGGCCACAATCTCAGGAATGCCAGAACTGTGAAACAAAGCCCTGGGATGAGCATCCAGAAAACCAGGGGCAGCCTGAGGGTTGTCTCAAGCCTTTCTGGAGAGTTCTCAATATTTTATGTGGGTAACAGCAGCAAATTATCTGTGATCTGGTGCTCTGTGTTCCTTATACCCAACAGGAGCTGTTTGACAGGAAGAAGAGGATTTGCTAAAAAAAAAAGCCACAAATCTTAAAAAATCTGTGAGATGCACCTTGAGCCTCACAGCATTGTATCACCCACAATTAAGAAAAATGTGAAATTGTCTTTTTTTTTTTCTAATAACCTTAAATTAATTTCAAAACTTCACTTGCACTTTTGAGCTGTTCCTTTTTATCAGGACACTCAGAGCTGCTCCACAGCTGGACAATTCCAAATATTTAACCGTTCCAACCAGAAAATCAAATCCTATTTCAAGGCTGATTTTCCACTTCCAGCAATGGAATCTCTTCAATTATCCAGCAGCAAAGCAGCAAAGCTCCATTTTCTGATTTCCTCGTGCTCCTCCAAGGCTTCCTGGCTGCTCCCTTGTGACAGTCTGTCAGAATTTTCCCTCATCTGCCTCACGATCGTCCTTGGGAACCCACTGAAGAGAAGACCCCCCCATCCATATCTGGCTCTGAAGGAGAAAAGTCACAGCCATGGGCCCCGAGAGCTGCAAGCTCGGTGTTGAGTTCTTGTTTTCACAGCAGTGTTTGATGCTAGGAAGAGGCACCGTGCCCCGTTTGCAACAACAGCAGCTCTGGGAGCTGTCCCAGCTCTCGGCCTGGCTGGACTTCTCCTGAGTTCCAGGTGGTCTCCCACAGAAAACCCTCACCTGTTTTACAACCACCGTGACAGACAGACTGAGATATAAGGAGCCTCTCCACCAAGGACTGAGACATGGAACCCCCATGTGAAAAGGCCCCTCTGCTCCTTCCAAGGACTGAGACACGAAACTCCCAACAGGCCCCTCTGCTCCTTCCAAGGACAGAGACACGAAACTCCCAACAGGCCCCTCTGCTCCTTCCATGGACAGAGACACGAAACTCCCAACAGGCCCCTCTGCTCCTTCCAAGGACAGAGACACGAAACTCCCAACAGGCCCCTCTGCCCCTTCCAAGGACAGAGACACGAAACTCCCAACAGGCCCCTCTGCTCCTTCCAAGGACTGAGACACGAAACTCCCAACAGGCCCCTCTGCTCCTTCCAAGGACAGAGACACGAAACTCCCAACAGGCCCCTCTGCCCCTTCCAAGGACAGAGACACGAAACTCCCAACAGGCCCCTCTGCTCCTTCCAAGGACAGAGACACAAAACTCCCAACAGGCCCCTCTGCCCCTTCCAAGGATGGGACTGACACCCCCAGCCCAGGGCGGGTGTGTGTGGGACCAAAGCTGACCAAAGTGAGATGTTTGCCTGCAGGTGTGACCACCGGACCAAGAACACAACGGCTCTCATTCACTGCTGAGAACATGGACTGCCTGTTACATCTGTTCCCTATTGTATTTGTTTCCCCCCTCACAATTTTCAGCAATAAAATCCTCTGAGTTAGCCAGAGCCTTTGAGATCTCCCCAGCGTGGCAGGTGGACCCTCGGCTGGACTGCATCAAAGGACTTTGTCTCTGCGTTGGTAGCTATATCCCCTCTCTCTCCTCTCTCTTTCTTTCTCTCTTTTTCTCTCCCTTAATCCCTCTATCACATTTTTGCTGTGGTTATTTCAATAAAACTGCATTTGTTTTGATTATCACTGCAAACCCCTTGTACCGTGTTGGTGTTTTGCACTCTGAGATCATTCCTATGAACCATCAGGTCATCTGTCCGCTAGGATGGACCCTGACATCCCTCCAAACCCTCCCCAAAATGCAAACACCCCTGGGATGCAGGAACTCACCGAGGAGTCGGTGGGCAGGTCCGTGTCCCATTTGCGGCCCCTGAAATCCCCGCCCCCGTTCCAGCGGAAGGAGCTCATGCACCCTCCCTGGGACAGCTCTGCAATGACAGCAGTTGGCACTTCATTGGAATGGCAAAAGGTTTAATTTCGCTGGAATAACAACAGTTATTCTGCTGCAATTCCAGCAGTTTTCACTTCACTGGAATAACAACAGTTACTCCGCTGCAATTACAGCAGTTTTCACTTCCTGGGGGCTGGAAGTGCCTCTAAACAAAGGGGGTTCTGCTGCAGGAAATGGGAACAATTCAAATCGGGAGGGAAGATATTGATCCAAGGGGTGAAGCTACAGGAGGATTTTTGTTTGTGGGTATTGAAGTGAAGATTTTTGTTTGTGGATATTGATGATTTTTGTTTGTGGATACTGAAGTGATGATTTTTGTTTGTGGATATTGATGATTTTTGTTTGTGGGTATTGAAGTGAAGATTTTTGTTTGTGGATATTGATGATTTTTGTTTGTGGATACTGAAGTGACAATTTTTGTTTGTGGATACTGAAGTGATGATTTTTGTTTGTGGATATGGAAGTGATGATTTTTGTTTGTGGATATTGATGATTTTTGTTTGTGGATATTGAAGTGATGATTTTTGTTTGTGGGTATTGAAGTGATGATTTTTGTTTGTGGATATTGATGATTTTTGTTTGTGGGTATTGAAGTGAAGATTTTTGTTTGTGGATATTGATGATTTTTGTTTGTGGATACTGAAGTGATGATTTTTGTTTGTGGATATTGATGATTTTTGTTTGTGGGTATTGAAGTGAAGATTTTTGTTTGTGGATATTGATGATTTTTGTTTGTGGATACTGAAGTGACGATTTTTGTTTGTGGATACTGAAGTGATGATTTTTGTTTGTGGATATGGAAGTGATGATTTTTGTTTGTGGATATTGATGATTTTTGTTTGTGGATATTGATGATTTTTGTTTGTGGGTATTGAAGTGATGATTTTTGTTTGTGGATATTGATGATTTTTGTTTGTGGGTATTGAAGTGATGATTTTTGTTTGTGGATATTGATGATTTTTGTTTGTGGATACTGAAGTGACAATTTTTGTTTGTGGATACTGAAGTGATGATTTTTGTTTGTGGATATGGAAGTGATGATTTTTGTTTGTGGATATTGATGATTTTTGTTTGTGGATATTGAAGTGATGATTTTTGTTTGTGGGTATTGAAGTGATGATTTTTGTTTGTGGATATTGATGATTTTTGTTTGTGGGTATTGAAGTGAAGATTTTTGTTTGTGGATATTGATGATTTTTGTTTGTGGATACTGAAGTGATGATTTTTGTTTGTGGATATTGATGATTTTTGTTTGTGGGTATTGAAGTGAAGATTTTTGTTTGTGGATATTGATGATTTTTGTTTGTGGATACTGAAGTGACGATTTTTGTTTGTGGATACTGAAGTGATGATTTTTGTTTGTGGATATGGAAGTGATGATTTTTGTTTGTGGATATTGATGATTTTTGTTTGTGGATATTGATGATTTTTGTTTGTGGGTATTGAAGTGATGATTTTTGTTTGTGGATATTGATGATTTTTGTTTGTGGGTATTGAAGTGATGATTTTTGTTTGTGGATATTGATGATTTTTGTTTGTGGATAATGAAGTGATGATTTTTGTTTGTGGATATTGATGATTTTTGTTTGTGGATATTGAAGTGATGATTTTTGTTTGTGGGTATTGAAGTGATGATTTTTGTTTGTGGATATTGATGATTTTTGTTTGTGGATATTGAAGTGATGATTTTTGTTTGTGGGTATTGAAGTGATGATTTTTGTTTGTGGATATTGATGATTTTTGTTTGTGGGTACTGAAGTGATGATTTTTGTTTGTGGATACTGAAGTGATGATTTTTGTTTGTGGATATTGATGATTTTTGTTTGTGGATACTGAAGTGATGATTTTTGTTTGTGGATACTGAAGTGACAATTTTTGTTTGTGGATAATGAAGTGATGATTTTTGTTTGTGGATATTGAAGTGATGATTTTTGTTTGTGGAAATTATGATTTTTGTTTGTGGATATGGAAGTGATTCAGTTTCACCCTGACAGGCAGGAGGAAATCATGGACTGGTTTGGACTGGGGGGACACTGAAGGATCAGGCAGTGCCACCCGTGCCATGGCAGTGCCACCTCCCACTGTCCCTGTGCAGCCTGGCCTGGGACATTCAGGGATGCAGGGACACTCTGGGACACAGAACCAATGAATTCCTGCAGCATGGGGATGTTTGGCCATCAGAACAGCAGCACAAACCTCTGATCCTTTCCACCAAGTACTCCTGGTTTGGGGTCAGATCCAGGTACTGCACCAGAGCGTTCAGGGTGGGGATGAGCGGGGCCTTCACCAGGGCTGCCTGCTTCAGGCTGCTGATGCTGGCCTCTGTGACAGACAGACACACAGACAGGCTCAGCCTCAGGGGGCACTGCCGGCTCCCTGCCCAGCCTGGGCACACCCCACACACCGCCCAGGCACTACAAAGTAGCACAAATCCCCTCCAACTCGGCTACAAGGAAGCAACAGCAGCTTAAAGAGCAGCAGGAGAGAAACAAAGTGAAAACAAAGTGAAAACAAAGTGAAAACAAAGTGAAAACAAAGTGAAAACAAAGTGAAAACAAAGTGAAAACAAAAGCAGCACCTACAGTTCTTTAAGCACTTTGCAACAGTAGCTTTGGAGGAAACACTCTAAGAACAAGCCAAAAAGAATCACTTAACTCAAAGCCAGCACATCAAATCAGGCAATTTAAAACAACAGGAGAAACAGCTGCTACAGAATCCTAACCTGACAGGGAAAAGAGAACCCCAGTTCATCAGAATTTTTAAAATTTATAGAATTTTAAAAACCCCAGTTCTTTCAGGAGGTGGGTGAACTGAAGGAAGAACGTGGGAAAGCACACAGCAGTGGAGACAGTGAGACCTTTGGGAGACACTGAGAATTTACAGCACATCTGTCTTTGAAATGCTTTCTGCCTCATTAATAATCAATTATTATTAATGAGAATTTGAGCTGTAAAATTAAATTTATAGGAGAAAAATAAGAGGAATTTAAGAATTGTACCCAAGTGCCCAAGCATTGATATTTATAGAAGTATTACAGAAAACCTTCCCATCTTAAAGAAATGCAGGAGGTGGAACAAAGACAGCACCAAAAGAGAGCAGAAACGGAACAAAAATATTTCCCAGACCCAATTTATGCACCACCCATTCCAAGGGTGCTGATCCCACCTCCAATCTGCAGCTCTGGACAGCCCATCCTCCTCAGCTGAGTGCTCACAGATTCCATCTCTTCCACCAGGGGCACCAGAATGGTGTCATTGATCCACTGCCAGGGAAAAAAGGGGAAAACTCACGCTCAGAAGCAACAGGAATGTTTAACAAACCCCTCAGCTTACACCCTGCAACCATCCCCACCACAACCACAAGGCACTTCAACAGAAACACTGAAACAAATCAAAGAGAGAAATAATTTAATTTAATTGGCAATTTAAGTGACCCCTTAACAGCTTCTGAAAAGGCAGAAAATTCAATGTTTAGGAGTTGGGAAAACCCATCTGTGTCAGGTGGAGCTTTTCTGGACAGTGAGGAAAGGGGATTGATGCAGTCCCTCTCCTGTTTGGCTCAGGACAGCAGGAGATGATGAATGTGAGGGATTTGAGTGTGACAGAGCACCCCAACCCTCCCCATCTCGGGCACACAGGAAGGGAGGAATTTCCCCCTTGGAACCCCTCAGAGAGGCACTTACATTCCTGAATTTGGCTGTCCAGGAATCCATGTGGTCCAGGAGCTGCCGGTTCATTGTCACCCGGGCCCAAACCTATGGAAAGGTTCATTAAATCCACAGGAGAACTCACAGGGGTTTTAGGTCTGTGACAATTCCTGCTGCTTGCAAAAGGAAGGAGCTGGCTGAATGCTGGAGGACTGACCCAGCCCAAATCCAAACCTTTGCACAAAGGTACATTTTAAAATCCCATTTCTCCCTCTTGACTTCTTTTATTTTTGTGGAATTTACCTCCTCTGCAGCCTGTTTGGAGGTGAGATCAGCTTCATCCTTGTGTGCAGAAGGAGCCTGGGACCTGCAGGCCAGCTGATACTGGAACTTCCTCAGGATCTGTGCATGGTCTGCCATGGAACGGCTGTAGTTCCAAAACGTTGGGCTGCTGGAGGGAGAGCTGGAATCTGAGCTCCCTGGAAAGATTAATTCATTCATTAAGGAATTTAATTCAATTATTGCCAATGATGCTGGAGAAACAGCACAGGGACAACAGGTCAGTGTGAGTGAATGCACTGAAGGCACACTGCATTTACCCTTATCTTGATTGTCCCTCCCTTATCTTGATTGACCCAGGAGAAAATGCACTGGATTCAGCCCCTTATCTGAAACCACTTGGACAAAATCCCCCTGTTATCAAGGTGATCTTATCTCAGTCCATTACAGCCTCCAGCTGCTACAGAGATAACCCAGCAGCATTCCCATGCTCAGATCCTGCTCCAAGGAATAACTGGAGGAAAACTGCCTGAAGGGGAACAATGGGGCTCTACCTCACACCCCAACTCACAGTGATCCATAAATGAATGGTTCCTTTTCACTGGTGCTTCTCCCATCCCAAAAACCGGCACTGGGTAAAACCAACACCTCTTCCCTGCCAAGCTTTTCCCATCGAACCCCCCAGTTTACCCAGCTGAACTCGGTGCTGTTTCTCCTCCTCGTTCCTCAGGAAGGTGTCCAGGGATTTGACATCTGTGATGCAGTCATCTTTGGAGGTGGAATTGTTGTACAGGATGGGGGAGAACCGGTAGTGAGACCTGATCCCAGCGCCGTCCACAGGCCCCACACTCACGGAATAGGGAGATCCATTGGGAGAGTGGCCGAAGCTGGAAACCTCGGGAGACAACAACAAAAACAATGAATTAATTTTCACTGCCAAGGCCGAGGCTGTGGCACAGGGGGGTGCTGGTGATGGTGCAGCTTACCTTGGTGTAGCTGCCGCCGGGTGAGAAGGTGCCCGGGCTGCTGTGGGAGGGGCTGGCCCCGGGCAGGGGCTGCAGCTGGGGGCTGAACCCGCCCAGGCAGCCCGCGGAGAACTTGGGGCTGGCGCTGGGCGAGCGCGAGGGGCTGTAGCTGAGCACGCACTGGCCCTGCAGGGGCGGCGACGGCGGCAGCGACAGCACCCGCTTGGGGCCCGCCTCCCGGGGAGGAGTGACCTGCACGGCTGCGAGGGAAGCACCGCGGTCACACACACCGCCCCTCCTCAGTGAAAATGTCATTAATGCAAACTGAAGCACCGCGGTCACACACACCGCCCCTCCTCAGTGAAAATGTCATTAATGCAAACTGAAGCACCGCGGTCACACACACCGCCCCTCCTCAGTGAAAATGTAATTCATGCAATCTGAAGCACCACAGTCACACAAACCACCCTTCTTAATGAAAAATATAATTCATGCAATCTGAAGCACCGCAGACACACACACCACCCTTCTTAATGAAAAATATCATTAATGCAATGTGAAGCACCGCAGTCACCCAAACCACCCTTCTTCATTGAAAATATCATTCATGCAATCTGAAGCACCACATGTCACACAAACCGCCCTTCTTCATTAAAAATGTAATTAATGCAATCTTAGAGATGTTCAAAGTTGCTCGTACAGAACTCCCATAAAACTGAGACCTGTGAGCCCACCCTGCGGTGGGATTCTCTAATATCCCATCAGCTCCCCCATCTGTACCACGCTAATTAACCTCTCAATTATCTAAAACACAATTAGCTTCTTCCAGACAACAACAGACAGAACAAGAGGACACAGTCTCAAGCTGTGCCAAGGGAGATACAGGCTAGAATTAAGGGGAAGTTTTCCACAGAAAAATTTCCATTTTTCAAATACTGGAATCATCCACCCAGGGGGGTGGTGGGGTCACCAGCCCTCGATGTGTTTGAGGGAACACTGGATGTGGCACTGGGTGCCATGGTCTGGCTGAGCTGTTGGAACATGGGCTGGACTCCATGATCTTAAAGGTCTCTTGCAACCCAGAAATTCTGTGATAGTTCCACCTCAAATGGCAGAAACCAAACCAAAATTCTGTGATTCTGTGATAGTTCCACCTCAAATGGCACAAACCAAACCAGAGCATGGAGCCCAGCTCCTGGCCCTGCACAGAACAACCCCAAACACCCAGCTCAGCTCACAGCCCTGTCAGAGGAGAGAATTCAGAATAAAGAGCCCAGAGCTGCAGAAAGCACAATGAAACCATGGAAAAGAACAAAAGGAGGGTTTGTCCCCCACCTGCCCTGCGCAGCCAGCCCACGATCTGCTGGCTGGGACTCGTCACCAAGCTGCCTGGTGCTGCTGTGTAGGTGAAGTACCTCCAGAAGTCAAACAGGGCATTGAGGCTGAACAGGGCTGCCAGGGCGAATTCTGCAAGAAACACACGAGTTTCTGTCATGGCTTGGGCAAAAATTACATTATTGGCAAAACCAGGCTGTGTCTGTTTAAAACAGGTCATTGTTAGTGCTGCCAGTTTGGGGAGGTAGCCAAGATTTCTTCACTTCCTTAGGCAAGAACCACTGGAGATAATTTTCCTCACTGTTGAAATTAATTTATACATTTAAAATTTAATTTTTAAAATGGGATTGTTATTTTCCACATAAGAAATCTCATGATTCTTGCTTCTTTCCTCCTGTTTGACAGAGCTTAGAGTCTCCTCTGAAATCAGCTTGAATTGTTGTAAAATTCCACCCACACCCAGAGCACAACACAGCAGGAAAATAAATCTAAGGCTCTCTAAAGCCTTAATCCACACATTAAGAAAGATTTCACACATTAATTAAGTCCATCCTGCCCATTTCCCATAGAGAAAAAGCTGTTAACACTCCTTATCTGCCCCTAAAAACAATGGAACTCCAGCAGTTTCAAGGGAAGTCACAGAAAACAAAACAAAGTTTTGGTTTAAAACTCAAACAGAAAAAAAACCCCACCTTAAAAACAACCTCCCAGCAATAAAAATGAGTAAAAAAAAATCCTAAAATTTGATTTAAATGCTGCAACGACTCACCAATGTACCAGAGGGGAAAGCAGGTGATGTTGTAGTAAGTGCTTAGCAGCTTCCCAGTCCTGAAAAGCAAAACAAGAAGGGAGAATTTAGCAGGAATTCTATCCTGGGGGACATTTAGGGCTGCACACGGTGGAATCTTTGCTGGTTTGGATCAGATGGAACAGTTAACTCACATTTCAGTGTAGATCATGCCTGCTACAGATATATTGAGGAGCCCCCAGGCCAGCACCACCTTCCTGGTCTCAGCCTGTTTCCTCATCTTCACAGCCAGGTCGATGAGGGACGTGTCTGGACTCCTGTTCGGTGTCATTGTCTGTGAGAACACAGGGAAAAGGCAAAATCTGAGAATTTTTAATCAACAGGAAGATTTCAGCCAGGTGACTGAGGAACAGTGTCCATCTTCTGCCTCATTTCTGAATAATAACATCCTTCAAAAGGAGGAGGGAAAGCTCCTGCCTCCTGCAGGCAAGACTGGTGTTTTTAGTGAAAATTCTCACTTATTTCAGTAGGTAGCAGAGTATTTTCTGTCATATGAAACCCACAGATTTTATTTCCTCCTCTTTGCCCAGTAACACCTCATATGAAGGAAATAACCCTGTCCCAGGCAGGCTGCCCTCACATATCCCCCACACCCCAACCCCTTCCCCAAACTTCTCCTGTCCCCTCCTCAAACCTCACCTTTCCCCCACCCCAAAGCTCTCCCCTCCCTTAGCACAAACCTCTTAGATCCTCCTCCTCAAAGTTCTCTGATCCCCTCTCCAAATTTAAACTCTCCCGCTTCTCACACTTCCCTTCTTTCCCCGCCCCAAACCTCTGCTCCTCCCACTCCGCAAACCCCTCTGATCCCCCTCCTCACATTTCATCTGTGCACTGTCCTCCTCCCAAACCCCTCTGATCCCCCTCCTCACATTTCATCTGTGCACTGTCCTCCTCCCAAACCCCTCTGATCCCCCTCCTCACATTTCATCTGTGCACTGTCCTCCTCCCAAACCCCTCTGATCCCCCTCCTCACATTTCATCTGTGCACTGTCCTCCTCCTCAAACCTCACTGATCCCCCTCCTCACATTTCATCTCTGCAGACCTCAATGTCCTCCTCCCCAAACCTCACTGTCCCCTTTTCCAAACCCCTCTGATCCCCCTCCTCACATTTCATCTGTGCATTGTCCTCCTCCCAAACCCCTCTGATCCCCCTCCTCACATTTCATCTGTGCATTGCCCTCCTCCTCAAACCTCACCGATCCCCCTCCTCAAACCTCACTGTCCCCCTTTCCAAACCTCTCTGATCCCCCTCCTCACATTTCATCTCTGCAGACCTTTCTGATCTCCCTCCTCAGACCTCCCCTCTCCTCCTCACACCTCTCTAATACCCCTCCTCCCCAAACCTCTCTGATCCCTCTCCTCGAACCTCCCCTCTCCTCCTCCCCGAACCTCCCTTCTCCCCTCCCAACCGCCCTCCCCAAACCTCACCGCTCCCCCTCCCCACAGCTCCCGGTCCCCCTCCCGAAGCTCGGCGGTGCCCCCCGCCGTGTCCCACCTCACCTCTCGGCAGATCGGTCCCGTTTTTCCCTCAGCCCGGGCAGTTTTTTCCCCTTTTCCCGCCGGGCTCTCTGCTCCCCTCACGCCGCCGCGGCCTCGCGCTCAGTGCGCCTGCGCGGGCGCTCGCGCCGCGTCACCGGCCGCGCCGGGGGAGGAGCAAAGGGGGCGGGGGCTCGCGCGCGGGTTTTGGCGGGAAGGGCGTGAGGGGGCCGCCATGTTGGGGGGGGGCGGAGGAGCCCTCACGGTTTCGCTCTGGGGTTTTTTACTTGACTTTATCGCTAAATTGTTTAGTTAATGTGAAAAACGCCCGTCACTTGTTTTTTAAAATGCTAAAAGTTTAATAGTAATAAAATGGTTATAAAAATAGTAATACAATTAGAGTAATAATAATTTGGACAATTTGGATTAGGACAATATGAGACAATAGAAACAAAGAGTTACGGACAGTCCAGGTATCTCTTTCTGGGCAAAATAAGTATGAAGAAGGCCCCACGTTAACAGAGGATTAACCCTTAAAAAGAACAACCTGTTGCATATTTACACACCTCATACATGATGCATAAATTCCATTCAAACACAGGATTCTGTCTGGGCAGTATCAGCTTCTTCCTCTGAATCCCAACAGTGCCTTCGAGGTGGGAAGTAGTTAATTTCTCCTGATAATGGAGCAATAAATTCTTTTTTTCTGAAAGATTCAGGTGTCCTGTGGCTGCTATGTCACTGCGAGTCCTTTCTTTAAAAAAGTATCCTACATATCATAGTTTCTATTTTAACAATTTTTATAACCTAAAACTATATTTAACATACTACTCAAGAGAATTGATACAGCATTACTAACACAACACATATAATATTCATTTTAATATTTGTGAAAAGCCAATCATAAAATACGCATTTTTCACATTGTTTATGCATTTTAACAAACAAATTAATGTTCATTGGTTCTAAATTGCATAATCCTCTTCATTAATTACTATTGTAATAAATGTTGCCTATTCACTTCCTCACTTTTTATACTGATCTCATACAAATTATTTAGTAATTTTGTTATCTTTTTCTCAGACATAAAGTCTCCAAGCTTTCAGGCCTTAATTTCCTCTACTTTCTGGTTACTCCAATATCCTTGAAGTGCCACAAATTTAAGTTCCCACATGCTCAGCCTTCAAATTCTTTGTGTCTGTTCATTGAAATTTGTCAGGTTTGTTTTAACAAACTTATTTGATGATTTCAAGATCAAAGTAATAATAAATGTCTGTGGAGAAGCTTTATTAGTGCTTTAAAAGTGGGTGCTGCTCATCAATAATTAAAATGACCAATTAAAAATTAGGAAAGTTGTATCATTTCCAACTCATGCATGACTTCAAATTTTTGTCCAGGTGTAGCTTCACATTTCTGCTCTGAAATGCTGTAAATGGAAAGGATTGTGTGAGGATAACTCCTCCAAATTTGACGGTCTTGATTTCCTAATTGAAGGAGAACTGAGTTGGAAATACACGGCTCCATTGCAGCCAGGGTTATTACACTGACATAAAGCCTCAGATTTTCCTGATATAAAGCCTAAAGATTTTCCAGAAACATCAAAAATACGGGCTCTGCTTCCAAAATGAATTCTCAGTGTACAACTAGTGAAGCACATACTGAAATCCCTACTCATTCCTTATCCAGGGCATTTCCAAGGGGGATTGGGGACATGGAGGCAATCCATCATTTACAGAAATAATAATTCCCCCATCAGTAATCCAAAATAAATTGGCGTTATAGCCAATTAACTCTGATTATCCCGGGGATGAGCTGCCAGTGGAGCCCTTTGCCATGCCAGTGAAATATTTCTATGCAAAGGTGAAAAGTTTCTGGGATTTTTTTTCCTAAAAATGACAGGAGAGGCTACAACTCTGGATCTTGGTTTGCATCATTTGAGGCAGCAGCAACACAGGGTCTGGATTTTACAGAAATGGACCGACCCCACTGAAATTTAATGATTTTTGGGGCTTTTCTATTTTTTGTTGCCGGGGGCTTGTATCCATTCTGGCCTCTCTCAGTGAAAATTAGTACCAATGAGGGATTTTATGTGAGGAGGGGGTTTGGCAGCTGAGGCTGACTGACCTTTGTCTGGCCCAGGTGTCTCCAGGCTGTCCCTGAGTCACAGGGTGACAGCAGAGCTGTGCAGGGCAGTGAGAGCCCTGCCTGCCTCACCCACACACCCTCCACCCACCCACCCACTCGGGGAGCTGCTCTGAGCCTCAGCCCAGTTGTTTGGGGTTTGTTTGAGCTGCACTGGGCTCAGGGGGGACCTTGGTGACATCCTGCCTGTGGAGGAGCTGCTCAGTGCCACCAGACCTGCTCTGCTGCTGGCTGGACCCCGTGGGGCTCTGCTGCTTGTGGTGAGCTCCCTCCTCCCCTGCCCTGCTGGGCCACCTCTGCCTCCTGCTGCTCCCTGGGGGTTTGCAGCCTCTAGAAATGGTTTGGGTGGGAAGGGACCTCAAAACCCACCTGGCTCCAACCCTTCAATTGTCCCAATGCCCAGCCTGGCCTTGGACATTGCAGGGATGCAATTCCTCATTGCCAAGATGCCACCCATGGCTGCCCTCTGGCAGTGGGAGCCATTCCCTGGGTGCTGTCCCTGCAGGCCTTGTCCCCAGTCCCTCTTCAGCTCTGCTGGAGCCCCTGCAGGCCCTGCCATGTGCTGGGAGCTCTCCCTGGATCCCTCCCTGCTCCAGGGGAACATTCCCAGCTCTCCCTGGATCCCTCCCTGCTCCAGGGAACATTCCCAGCTCTCCCTGGATCCTTCCCTGCTCCAGGGGAACATTCCCAGCTCTCCCAGCCTGACATTGGATCCATCTCCTCTCCAAGACATTCATGGACCCAGGGGCTTCACTTGGAATCTCAGCAAACCATCAAGGGTCTCCCTTCCCTTCTCCTCTCTTTTCCATTCCCATTTCCCATAAAAATCTCTTGGGATGGATTGTGAGTGTCCCAAATCCCAGAGAAGTTTGGGTGGGAAGGGACCTCAGCAGCTCCATGGATTCCTCTGGATTCACTCCAATTTCATGGATGCCCATGGCTCAGGGCTGATCTCCAGCCCCTTTAGGACCTCATGGTCATCACTGGGGACCCTGCAGCCCCCCAGGGATGAGGGATGAGTCCAAGGTGTAGATTTAGATGAAATGCCGTGGGTGGAGGCCCCAGAGGATGCTGATCAGGGCACTCAGAGCTCGTTGGGATACTTTGGATCCTGCCATCAGGTTTGGCAGGGTTTCTTGGCAGCCCTTAAACCCATGTGGGATGCAGCATGAGTAATGAAACGAGCTCTAATTTTGCCCCAGATTAAATCCCTTCTTCCTGTTTGCAAAGAGTGAGCCGTGGCAGGTCCTGTGGGCAGTCAGCTGATCCTTATGAAATATTGGAGTCTGGAAGCTGCAGCTGGGGCTTGACTCCCACCACAGCTCCTGCTGCAGTTCCAGAAACAGGAAATCCCTGTGATGGCTCCTGTCTCTGGGGATAAATTTTGATTCTTTGGTTTAAGTTGAGGGAGTGGAGATCTTTTTCCCCAGGGACTGGGTTTGGCTAAACCTTAGAGACCAGAGCAGTTCTGCTGTGCCCCCAAGACACAGCAGTTACACGATGACTCAATCCTGCAGGCCAAAACAGGACTAATCCCTGCCTGGGGCTCCCTTTGTTCCCAAAAACCTGCAACAAAGCCCTTGCCTGGGCTGTGAACACAACAGGACACCTGAGGAGGAGTGGGTGGGAGTGGAGCTGAGAGGAGACTCCTCAGGAGGTGCTGAGATACAAGTGAGATCTTCATTAAAAGTTTCCTCTGGGAATTCCTTTCCGTTCTCCTGAGGTGGTTCGAGCAGCTGAACATCTCCGCTCTCTCTGCTCCCCAGGAGCCCCAGGTGTGCCAGCAGGGGCAGCTCCTGGCTGTTCTCAGAATCCTTCTGGTTTGGGTAAACACAAAGTTTATCCAGCAGTTTATCCCCGTGTGCACCTGCAGCTGTGGGACAGCCACGGCTGGGGCTTCCCACGGGAGAAAATTCCCAAAGCTCAGGCAGGACTGTGCCTCCCACGGGGATAACACCTCCTCAAACATCCCTTGGAACCAGGAATAGACAGCTCAAAATGCCAACCAAGCGCGGGAATCTCAGCAAACCATCCTGCTCCTGCCCCCAGTGAGAGCTGGATGAGTTCAGTCTGTCCCTGTTTTCCTCTGCCCTAAAGAACACACACATTTTTGTGGTCACAGCTTTGGGACCGACTCCTCCCCCCCTGGTCTGGATGTGCCAGTGGAAAATATTTTTTTGGAGGTGAAATCAGCCTGCTGGTTGCCTTGAAGGCTCTGATAAATGTGAGAACTCGATCACATGGAGCGATAGGTGCTATCAGATGTGTTTGATGTGAAAAATAAAGCTCTGTATAAATTGCCCCTCGCCAGGCCCAGCTGGACTTGCAGCAAACATGAAGCTGATTTTGATCTTCAGTGCCCTCATCGGGGCTTCCCTGTGCCTGGAAACCTTCGTGGGGTGAGTTCCACTTTTGTGGAAAACTTTTCATTTAGGGCTGGTGTCCTGTTGTTGTTTTTCATGGCCTCACCCTCACAAAATCTGCTCGGGCACATTTTTTTGGTTTTTGTGACAGATTGTTCTCCTTGCTTTGCTGTTGTGGTGTTTGAGGGAACCTTTCTTTACTTTATTTGGGTTTTCTAAGGAGAAGGCTCCAGCTGTGGAGTTGAGCTCCTCAATTCCTGTTCATCCAAGGCTTCATTTTGGCTTGAGTTCAACCTCACTGCAAAAGCAGAGCTGAAAGACCAGAACCTGTCCTCACAGCAGAAAGTTCACCACTTTTCCTTTCTTTCCCAAATTTCTTATTTCTCTTTCTTCCTCTTCTTTCCTTCTTTCTAAGCATTTAAAATCCCGATTTCCAAACAGTAAATTCTGAAGGTTTCTCTTTATGTTGCATTGCAACAATTATCCCACAAGGTATTTCCTCACAGCCTCACTGACCTTGGAAATGCCTTAATTATTAAAGATTATGAAATCCTACTGGATAATTCCTGAGGTGCAGGAAGTGAGCGCTAGATTCCAGTGAGTAAATCTGTG